ATTCTGGCACCCAACATCACAATAAGATGATATTTTAAGCTCCTTATGTAGCCGAATCTGCACTCAGTGCGCTGGTTTGAATGGGCCGCCTCCAGTTTCCCCTTTGTTTTGCTGCCTCCAGCTAGCGCTGTGACGTCGGCTGACCCTAGTTAGCTGTGGTTGGCCTGGCCGTGCGTCACTCAGAACACAACAGGCCAATCAGAAGAGAGGCTCATGAATATTCATTAGACAGGCCAAAATCGACCTGTTCTCAGCAGAGCTCCTGAGAGAGGAGCTGTAAAAAATATATTGAGATGGTTTTTGGTACTTATACCGCAAATATATATTCTTAAGGACATCAAAACCTAAAATAAAACTCCAGAAAAGTGTAAAATATGTGACCTTTAAGTAAATTGCACATTGACTGGACATTAAATGGCTTTCCTGAGGTAAATGTAACATCAAATTGTTTACAAGCTGTTTTACTGACATCTTTCTGCAGTTGAAACTCTGATTTAGTGATTTCATGAGACATGATTTCATTTGTCGTGTTGTAGCTTATCCACGTTGTGTGTATGAAATAGAAACGCCATTGCAGAAGCGCCAACTTAAACATCATCGTTTCGGTCAATATTTTCGGCCCTCCAAAACTCCAATTTCCAGCACAATAATTTCACTATTGTGTAAATTATAATTTTTTTTTTCAGCTAATATTATGTTGCCTTAAATTGATAATTAATTTTCTTGTTCGGCATATGTAATTAATTAGTTTGAACTTTAATGAATTTACAGCCCCTTCAAAATATGTTTTACATAAATTTATGACTTTATTTTCATGACATTTTCCCAAAAATTCTTATTACTGTAATGCACCCAGATTATTCTCAGTGATGGTTCTTGTTAAATTTTTGTTACTTAAATGGAGTTATTTTATATATATATATATGTATGTATACATACATTTTTTTCACATTACAGCAATCAGTATTTTTATTAGTGTTATTACAGTATTAAGATGTACGATCATGAAAAAAAAATCTTAATGATCCTGAAACTAGACATGTACTTCATGGGTTAGTGACCAGCATTTGTTCTTGACAGGTTTCATGTAGGTCTTTCAGTGATCATGTGCATGTCAAGCTTGACGCTATGGACAAGTCTGACATTTACATGCACATGGATGTCTACAGGCATCATGTCGAGATTGTGTTGCCGTGCAGATGACCCATCAAGTCATTCACAATGACACGACACACACTCGTGAGTTCATAGGGATTCACACCTCTTGACTCAAGAGTACATTTACAAAATGATGCACAGCAGCATTTTCACACTTCACTTCCTGTGCAACTTCAGTAATAAAACACACACACACATGCATTGATTTTCAGCACAACACGCTGGGTTCTCTCTGCTCCAAATGCATTAGACACACAACTCATCTGCCGCTGCTGAGGAGGAGGAGAAATTGTGAAAAAAGAGGAGTGGAGAGAGCGGGAGCGGAGGGAGGAAACATTGACATTTTTATCTTTTCATTGAATTTCATCTTTGTGATGGACGATCTGCCAGCGCTTTAATTTTCTCCTCTAAAATTATCCCTGCCAAGAGCTTCATGCACATGCACACACACACACACAGACACACACACCCTGAAACAGACATATGTGAGCGTTAAGGCCCTTTCACACCAAGACGAATGTGTCACGAAAATTTGTTGCGATAAACATTTTAATTTGAATCCGCAGTTCTTAATGCATCTGTTCAGACTGACATGAACATTTGCATGTTGTCAATGTAACAGAGGGGTTCTAAACTCTTTTCCATCACACTGTGAGGAAAACAGCCGACCAATGAGATTTGCGCTTTTAGTCACGTGCCAAGAGCCACTGCTCTTACATAAAACTATGACTTGGTGGCACTCACTACTTTTATCAAGTAGCAATGAATAGCGGAAGAAAATCATAACCATCAGTGGAGATGGATAATGAGCGGCTATTGTTTTTATGTTTAATATTGGAATTAAGGCTGCAACTAACCATTGTTTTTTTAGTAAATCAACCCTCTACGGACACCTTGGCAATTGAATCGCCATTGGCTAGTAAATTTTTTTGTTTACTCGCCAGACTGAAATACTATACTATACTATACTATACTAGACTATATATATATATATATATAAAATTATGTCATTTTACAAAC